CACTGGCCGTCTCCAGCTGTGTGCCAGGCGCAGTGCCCAGTGCTTCTCACCACTGGTCTTCTTGAACCATCCCAGTGGGGTGGCCTTGTGTAGGAGATGAAACTGAGGCTCGGAGAAGCTGACACCCTAAATGCAGGTGAGTCTGGTGTGGGCTCACATTCCTGGCCGCCTCTGAGCAATGCCCACACAGCCAGGAACTGGGGAGGGCACTGGGCTAACCGAGGTGATGCTCAGAAGCTTCCCAGCTATTGTAAAAGGAGGGGAGAGGGGAGCCCACTAAACAGACTGCAGCCACCAGGGGGCCCTGTGGAGAGACTGAGTGCCCTGGGCTCAGCACCCACATGCTCAGCTTTTGGGACCCAGGAAACGGGCGCTGGCCACCAAAGTAAATGTTTGGGGGTCTCTCTGGCCCCCAGCTCAGACCTAAAAGGCTACTTTGGGTGTGAAAACTTCGGCAGAGGTTACCAAAGGTAAATAACCTAGGAGACGGCGCAAGCTGTCAGCACGGGCCACCCAAACTGGACACTGACTTGAAATTGATTCTGCCGGCTCCCGCAGCCTCAGTTTCCCCATCTGTAAAGTGAGGGTGAGAGCAGTTCCCAAGGCATGAAGGTGCAGGAGGGTTTAGTGTGGGGCCTGCACACGTAATCACGGAACAACGCAGATCTTCTGCCTGTCTCCTCCCTCTGTTCGCGGGTAAGCCTCTTCTCAGAGGTCAGCCAGGAGGTTGGCCTGCAGAAGGCAGGAGTCATGAGCCAAATATTTGAGAGCCTATTGTATACAAGGCACTGGGCCCTGGGACAGAGGACACATCAGGAAGACAAAGTCACAGCTCCACCCTGAAACATCGTGTCTGACAGTTACAATACACGTCCATAGTTTAAAGGCGCTGAGAAGTCCTGCAGTACGTGTACCTGCCTCACTTTGTTTGACCCGGTATTTCCTGAATAGATTGCATCACAGTGACCTTTTGGGGTTTGAGGCTTGATGAGGCCCTCAGTGGTTCACCAGCATTTCCAGGTCCTCCTCTTTGGGGGGCAAAGGGCAGACGTGTTTCCCGGCCCCCATCCACAGGACTCTTGGTCCACAAGCTGTGAGCTGAAGGGAACCCTTTAAGCCCTGTGGACAGAAGGGGCCACATGCCCACCTGACAGCTCAGGGGAGGCCTGCATGGCGGCCTTGCAGACTCAGATCTAAAGTCACCACAAAGGATGGTCTGACATTAAACTTTTACTAAAAGCAGTGATGGTGGGTGGTCACCTCCTAGGCCGGTATCTTCACTGACAAGGTCAACCTTTACCTTCACTGAGCCTGTCTGTCTTTTTGCATCTATGATAACATACCCTTGAAATTTCTGGGTACCTTGTAACTTCCTTTTTCTGGACCCCTTGGGGCACAACCTAATGTGCTGGGCGCCCAGACAGAGACCACCAATTCCTTCATTATCATGTTAATTGTTCCTGCACCCACCTAAGTGTGTGTCCATCATTTTACTTTTTATCCAATCCCAGGGGTTTCCCTGCTTTGCTTTATCCCTCCTCCTTAGTCTGTCACCAATGGATTTAATGTAACCCACCTACGTCCCTCCTTTGATTGCAAAGTATAAATACAGATGTAACCCGCCATTCTCCGGAGCATTATCTCAATTCATTGAGGTTCTGCTTCCTGGCATATGTCGACAGTTTGGCTCAAATAAACTCACAAAAATTCTTTACAGGTTTCAATGGTTCTTTACGTCAACAGCACCAAATCATCCCTCCCTCCCCACCATGGCTCCAAAGGGTGGGGCAGCTTCAGGCTGGATCATCAAGACTGAGAGCAGTGGCCTCTTTGGGGGCTTTTGTTGAATGTAGGTACCTACAGCCTGTCCTAACTGATCACAGTGACAACTGCCAGCACCCCAGAACTCCGTGTGTGAAGTGCCGATCGATCGGACCCGTCGGCAGCAGGGACGCAGTGTGGTGGCTGCACTGGTTCCCGGGAGAAAATCCGTCTCGTGGCCACAAGGGAGGCTGAGCTCCTGGCTCCTGACTTGGAAGTTGAGACACAGGGCGGCTGAGCAGGGAGCTGAGCTCTGTCCTGGGGGGCACGTTAGGATGCGGCCAAGGGATGGCCAGGTGGAGCCGGCCAGGGGGTAGGTGGGCATGCGGGCTCCACCCTCACTGCACCAAGAACTCGGAAGACAAGGCCTGCTCACTCCAAGCCTCCCCCTCCCTCCCCCAGGACCAGCTTTGGGGAAGAGTCCGGCCCCGCGGCATCTGGGAAGGACAGCCGAGGGAGAGCACTCTAAATGCCACGTTTATTATGAGCTCTTTCTGACCAAAGAAATACATGTTCACACAGAAATTTGGAAAACACATAAAAGCACAACAAAGAGTTATAGATAATGGCAGAATGCTAGCCACTGACCGTATGGGGTATGTGCCTTCCGGTCTTTCTTCACACACACACACCTCCACACTGTCCTTAACGAGGCTGGCCCAGGCGCTGCGCCAGGTTTTGCCATCTGTGTGCCAAGGAAGGCCGCTGTTCCCAGGCATTAACTAGACCAGCGGTCTGCAGACCACCGGTTGGGACCACTGAACTGGACTACGTGTGGATAATGCCTGACGGAGAGCTCCAGAGCCTGCATGTGCCCCAGAGGGAGGGAGGGAGGGTTGCCTGACAGGCAGGAGGGACTGGAGGATGCTTCCATCTGCAGGTGAGACACCCTACAGAGCTGAGGCCTGGGGGCTGGGGGGAGGGTGGCAGCTAAGGCCCAGGCCGGGGATCCTTGGCCATTTCTCAGCGAGCACTGCACTTCCTTGTCTTCGAGCTCATTTTTAAAAATGTATAAAACATGCTCATTGTAAGAAGGTCGAGCGATTTTTAAAAATTGGAAAGAAAATAAGTTTCGTGTAATTTGATCAGCCATTGAACATATTTATTTCCTGATGACGATCACAAAACTCATGCGTGTACCGTCTATAAGAAAACACAGGGTCACTGTGAAATACTGTTAGTGTTACAGCCGGTGGGGAAATGAGGCGGGAGGTGTGAGGGGGGTGACAGGAGTCCAGGTGGTGGCAGGCGTGGCCTCCCCGCCTCTCTCCAGCTCAGCAAGGGGCAGAGCTTTCACTCACCAGCCCCGAGACACAGGAGCCAGCAGGGAGGCCTGGGATGGGGGGGGGGGGGATCCCTGTGCTGGGCAGCAACCCTGTGTCATCACAAGTCGCCTGCTCCATGTTGAAGGGTGTGCCTGTGAGAGGTGTCCTGTCTGGACTTGCTGGTTCTCCCCTCCGGGACACTTACCAAAGTGGGGGAGAGGTGCCACCCTCTGTCCCAGCGCCTGGGCTGGCCCTTAGCACTGATTCTCTCTGTGATATCTGCATGTGTCAGAGCAGCGGACACCCGCGTTTCCCCTGGAGGGCAGTGCCATGTGCCTGCCAGCAAGTTACCCCCTGGGAGAAGGGAGCTCCCTGTCCCCCTTCTCACTAAGACGGGGG